AATAAATATTTTGTCGGAAAAAAGTCGGCAACACCTGAATTTCCCACAGCGTTTTTCCTCAGCAAGGCAAAATGTTGGTCACGCCTACAGATTCCGGATTAAATTCGGACTGCAACGTTGCCAACCATACGGTGAATTTCTGAAACGACACTTTAGATTGTGAAAAAAATAAGGTTGCCGGTCTGGAGTTAATCAGCGAACATTACCCGAGTGATCCAGTCTTCCCGTTGTTTTTTCGACGAGCTGCACGGAACACCCATTGCTCTTACCTTTAAACCGGTTACTCCTGAAGCGCTCACCTATCATCACCTTCACTAGTCATTGTCCGGTCATTTCTTCACTGAGCGGAGCCAATTTTGAAAATATTGAGCTTTCTGTTTTATTCAGAAAAAGCAAAAAAATAAAATAAAATAAAATAAATAAATAAAAAATTAAAATTAAAATTAAAATTGAAAAATAACAAAATAAATAATAATACAATTATTATCCGAAATGTTTATTCATACAGATCAATATAGGTACGAGTTTGTACTTTTTTGTATATAAGTTCGATTGCCTATACGGTGGCTTATTTATGAAAGCATGCCGGATATTGAAGTCCAACAAATTGGTCAAAAGACCAAAAAAATAAAATGTGTAAGTCGAGGAAAATTGACATCGAACGATATGATAAAAATATGTCGATGTAGTTGATTCGTCAATTTTTAATACTCAATTTAGATAGCGTGCCGCTTTCTAAAAGAACAAAACCGAGAGACGGTTTTCCTGATATTGCTCGGAGAAATACAGGGAGAGGGTATAATAAAAGATAAAGGGCCGAGGTTGACGGGGAAGGGAGGAGAGAGAGAGTGAAAGTGGCTGATTAACATTGAAATGTGTAGAGTTTCGCCTAACAATTTTTTTTTTTTCATTGAAGTTTTGCAAATGAAAAAAGGTTATCACTGTGGCTATCATAGCCAACAGGACTGGATGAATTTGGAGTTGTTACGTCATGTAATGGTTAACTTTTCTACCCTGCGTTTAAGTCTCCAGGCTACTCAATGTGTTTCACGACTCATCAAATGTGTTGGAAAAGAGAGGGTTTTGCACCTCGGCTTCCGGTGGACTGGACGAATAGGAAGTTGTCACGTCATGAAATGGTTTACTTTTCTACCCTGCTTTAAGTCTCCAAGCTTTCCTGCGTGTTTTCTTACCTATAAAAACGAAAGTGTTCCCTGCTGTTGAACTTGTCAGGAAATTTTTGTTGTGTCAGAAAGAAATTTTACAAAAAAAGGATATTTTACAACCCCTCTTCTGTAAATGAAATAATTATTCTTACCATTTCATTTAGGACAGTGCGCGGGTAATAACGTAGACAATTTTAGACAGCAGGCGGCAAGCGCATAATTTAAAATAGTGTGTAGTATGCTAATACAAAAGGCCAAGCTGCATGCTTTTTCCAAAGGTGCATTCTTTAGACTTCGTCATTCGTTAACATTCTATGAGTAAAAAGAAGTTATATAGTAATATTTATGAATTTTGATGCAAATATATAAATTTTGTTCCCTCTTTTATGAGATGTTTAAAAATGATTTTACCTACACGCAAAATAATTTACATAACCATCATAAAAATTCTATGATATCAATTGACCAATAAAACCAACCTCTGAGTACTTTTAAAAATCAGGTATTTGCTCATCGTTCAACATACTAAATCTCTAGGGAGCTAAGCTTATACGATGGATTGCTTCTCGGCAATAAAATTTCAGTCATAATTTGAAAATCTGATGATGGCAAGAGAGAGCCCGAATATTATCACCTGCCGATCCAAAAACAAAATTTGCTCGGTGAATTTCTGAAATATAGCGCGGAAAAAAGATGCGAATTTCGAGGGTCAAAGAACGAGGGACCCGACTGTGATAATGTAGAAATGCAGTTTTGTTTGTGCAAATCACAAATGGGATGATGGTGAGATGCTGCATAAACTACCAGTTTAGACCGTGTTTCCACGATGCACGCCCTTTTTAATTTGAAAAGGTGCGTAAGGCAAAGGATTTTATTACGGTGTGTGCTGCATCTCTAATGTAATTCTGAACGATAAAGTCAGAGATATGAATACGCTCAGACTTCCACTGTACATCAATGTCTAGTTCGAAAAAGTAACGTGGATCATGAGAAGTCACTAGAATTATAATACATAAAAAAAAAAAAAAAAAAAAAAAAATTGTCCGTGCTCAAGTTTTCACAATAATAACAAATACCTTATTGCTTAATTTTACTATCAAAAATACCCTAAGAAAGCTTCAGCAAGCAATATGGTAATTGATTACTCTTCAAAAACACAATTTATTATGGGAAATGGAACGCTGAAATGATAATACTTCGATAAGAAGTGCTAATTATTTCGCCAATCCAAGCTCCCTGTCAGATGCCTAGTAATTATTAATCTCCGCCAGAATCAGAGATGTCAGTTCGTTTGATAAACTTTTTATTTCATGTTCCACAATTCAAAGATCGTGTAAAGAAATAGTCTTTGGCAATGATGCTTGATACAGTTTAACGCCTCCATCTACGTCGGTGCGAGGATTTCTGATTACAAGTAGGTAGTTGTCTTTTATTGCTATCGACAAGATAGAGAAAAATCTGCGTTGGTGCTTGGAGGAGACGTTGAACGCACGATGAACTTGGCTTACTCAAATTTATGTTAGAAACATGTACCTTACTTAGAGATAATAGGACGCATTTGTCGAAGAAATTCATGCACACAGGAGGATTTTAGAAAAAACCTATCTATTCAAGGGATAGATCGGAAATCATTTGCAGTTTTGGAATTGGTTTAGGACTGATCTTCCACGTAATGCTCTGCCCTTATCCGAGGTCAAAAGTTTTGAAAAAAAACATGCCTTGAACTGGAAAGAATAGAAGAGACCCTACACTGGAAAAAAAACACATTGGATCTAGAGTCCAGACTCTTAAAAACATTGACAAGAAAAAATACTCTTGATTCAATCAGATTTAAGCTTGAATCAAGAACTAAGCCTCTTAATTCGAGCATTATTTCCTTTTGATTTAAGCTCAAATCTAATTGAATCAAGAGTCCTTTTTCTTGTCAATGTTTTCAAGAGTCTGGACTCTAGATCCAATGTGTTTCCTTTTCCAGTGTACCGAAGTTTTCAAGCAGATAGATTTGTTTTACGTGATGCTGTTCCAAATTGGAATTGCATTACGATAAAAAAGTAAGCTGGTAGGAAAGTTAGAGCTTCTAATTGCTTCTATCTTACAATGTAGTCTTCAAGCGGGCCGATTATTGAAATTGATTGACATAGCCATAGACAAAAGGGATATGGAGAGATCCTTAATAATCTTTGATAATGGGGAGATACCCTATCGTTAGTCATCATTTTCCTCCTTAGCCTACAAGAACCACCCGTTTCAACCAAATAGGATCGCTCCATACTCCCTGTGGCTTTTTTTGTCTACAGCTTTGTCTATCAATTTAAAAAATCAGCCCGCAGGTAATTTTTGTGAATGCCTCTCATTGTGACTGCCCGTCTTCCTTTCCAATTGGTCGTATTTTAATCCAATGGAATTAAATTCATCGTGACATGAACCCAGTCATGCAGGTACACTCATGGAGATCGGAGTTCATGCTAGGACGGATATAGCTCATTTTGATTTAAATACGTCCAATATTGTATTTCATATTCGCCCCTATTTGATATTTTGTGAATACACGTCTGATATAGGTGCAGAGATATAACCTCATGTTTTTCAATTTGTGGTCTTTTGCTTAAATGTTGATCAGAGATGTTTATTTGTTAAACTTTTTGAAAAAGATCTCCTAGAACATCCTTGCATACTCGGAGAGACATTCATTCAACCACCAGTAATTTTTTTCTACATGGCTCCCGTCTCCTTTTCGATTTCGCTTTGAATTTGCCGTGTATGTATTGGACTCAATCCCTAACAGGTTTTCCATGGGCAAATGGCACAGCCAGAAAGTTTTCTCATGGGGAGGAGAAAGGGCTCTTCCGTCTAGAATATCTTACAGGAACGGGGCCAGGGGGGCTATTATATGAAAAAAATCCATGAGAATCACAAAATTTGACATTCTCTTTAAAACAATTTTCCAGTCATAGGGGGAGGGGTATCTTATTTTCGAAAGTTGTGACAAATTCAGGTCTCCTTCGCTCAAAATATGCTAGAATGTGGCTAAAACAAGAATCTTTCGGGCGGAAAAAAATTAATTTTTTAGAGGCCTCTTGGGTGTCCTAAAGCGCGCACGTCTAAACATTGTATTTGGGCAAGTGTGGTGTCCTTTCTCAATGGCAATTATCAAATTGAGGTCCTTTACACTGGAAAAAAACACATTGGATCTTGAGTCCAGACTCTTGAAAACATTGACAAGAAAAAATACTCCTGATTCAATCGGGGTTTTTGCTTGAATCAAAACGAAATCCGCTTAAATTAAGAAGCTTGGTTCTTGATTTAAGCTTAAATCCGATTGAATCAAGAGTATTTTTTCTTGTCGATGTTTTTAAGAGTCTGGACTCTAGATCCAATGTGTTTTTTCTCCAGTGCTTGAAATTTCTGGATATTTTCGATTAAACTACGTTTAAAATTGTCTGAAAATTTTGGAGAAAAATATTCTCAATTTGCCCAGTAAATTCGGTTTTTATCAACGGAGACTAGGCAACATCTAACGGCTAACGGCTAGATTCCGATTGAATTAAGAGTACTTTTTCTTGTCGATGTTTTTAAAAGTCTGGACTCTGATCCAATGTGTTTTTTTCCAGTGTAGGGCCAAAATGTTTTCATTTTTTTTCCAATTGGGCCGTCTTGGACCTCTCCTGACCACGTCGCCACCGCCATGGACCGATTTGGCCGATGCGGCCTTAACCAAAATTAACGGCCAGATCGGCCTGATGGAAAAAGAAGGCGGGATTGGGGGAACAAGCGTTGAGGGCCTACAGGATACGCGGCTGGAGCGGTTTCAGCACGGGTGCGGACAGGACCCCGCGCAAGGTCGCGGGGCGGGCGTGGTTGAAAACGCGCCTCGTATTTAAGCCCCCTCGACGGAGGAGGAGAGCATTGTAGTGCCATTGCTTTCGTGGTAGACATCCATCAAACGACAAAACCAATCTCAAACATGAAGGTAAGAGTCACTTCTTCATTTCTCTCCAAAACTGAAATTTTTCTTATACTCGCAGTAACTAGTGAGAAAAGTCTAAAGAAATCGTACATTTCAAGGATCAAACTTCATTGAAAGTTGCAATGATGAATTTTTCAATTAGGAACTACAATTTCTGACTTGTGTTAGAAACAGCATATGAGCCATGAGTTCCCCAATGCAGGTAGGCGCTTTCATGGATGAACTTGAAATTGTAGTTCCCGACTGCAAATTGCAGTCAAAATATTAACGTTTCTAATGGTTTGTTTCGCCCATATTATACAGAATTTCCTTTTGAATTTCATAATATCGACGGTGTAAGTCGGCAATAACTCGGTTTGCGACGTCTCAGACTTCCTATCATATTTTATTTGTTAAACGGGGAACCGCTCAACAACAATTGTTTAAAACTGGCGTGATTTTTCTTCTCTATACCAAGAAAATTCTGCAAAAACTTCAAGAAATAATGCCAATTTGTTCCCTTTTAAAAAATTAACATAGAGGCGGAGATTTTCAGACACCGCGAACGAGTTATGTAATTGCCGACTTATACCGTCGATATGTGCCATGAGTTCCTCAATGCAGATAGGCGCTTTCATGGATGAACCTGAAATTGTAGGTCCCAATTGCAAATTCTAGTCAAAATATTAACGTTTCTAATGGTTTGTTTCGCCCAAATTATACAGGATTTCTTTTTGAGTTTTATATGTTTTATTATCAGTTTCGTTCGGCGTGTAAGAAATATTTTTAGCATTTGACTTAATTTTCGGTAACTTTTTTCTCAACATTTTATCTTTAATTTTATTCGTGTTTTGCGTGAAAAATTCCAAAAATTTGTTTCATTTTCATGTTTTTAGTTTTTCAAACGCAATTTACTCATCAACGTATTAGCGTTTGTCCAGATTTGAACAAATTTATAAATTCTATATTCCCAATAAAATTTATTTTGTGTAGACAACTACGACAAGTTTATTTGCTGGGCTATTTTACGGGATGATTGTGCGCCTATAATGTTAGCATCTTTAAGATTACAAACTTTAAAAGTAAATAAATTATTGAATTTAACTTTTTTTATTCCTCTTAAACAATGGAAATTTAAAAAAAGCTGTTGAGTTAACTTATGAAATAAAAAACCCTGTGTTCTAATTTTTTTAAAATATTTCAGTTAATGCATATCCCTTTCGTTTAAAACTTTTTCAACGATAACATCTGAATGATTTTTGGATTTCCTGAATGGAAAACGGCAATATTAAGATTTTTAAATTTTTTTTTTTAATGAGTTGTTGACTTAAACATGACCAATCTTATAAAATTGCATTTATGTTAAAACTTTTAAATATTCATCAGGAGAGTAAACAAATTATCATCATTGTTGTTACGAATAGATCATTAAGATGAGACATGAATTTAAAAAAGTAAATGTAAAAAGTAAACATTCGTAATTGTTTTTTATTTGCAACCGCCCACTGTTTCAGAGGCATGTGAAATTTCAAATCATTTTTCTCTCGAATTATTTTTGGTTAAAACCATCATTCACGAAGTCATACATTTAATGCGTTTCTAAGTATCCCCGTAAAGACTTTAGTTTTTGTCTTCCTCTGCACTAATCATTCAAAATCAGTCATTAGCTCCTCTGAGTAGACTGGTGCTTTTATGGATGGGCCATAAACGGACCGCGTTATGCAAAAAGGAACCAAGCCACATCATCTATTGCCAAATTTAATCGGGCAATTTAACTTTTTCCATGGAAACGGTTGTGCAGATTCTTGTGCAAACAGTGAATTTTCTGCATAGTACGAAGCAAATTCCTTGATATTTTCGAAGAAACCCGCACAAGCGTTCTCTCGTAAAAAATTAAATAGCCTGGTTTTTGGCAATGGCAGATGTGGCTTGGTTCCTTTCTGCTACACGCGGTCCAAATAGTAGTTCATGATTGCAATATGTACAATGGGAAAAAAAAAAAACAAATTGGATCTAGAGTCCAGATTCTCAAAAACATCGACAAGAAAAAATACTCTTGATTCAATTGGATTTTTGCTTAAATCAAGAACCAAGCCTCTTAATTTGAGCGGATTTCCTTTTGATCTAAGCAAAAATCTGATTGAATCAAGAGTATTTTTTCTTGTCAATGGTTTCAAGAGTCTGGACTCTAGATCCAATGTGTTTTTTTTCCCCAGTGTAGTCCATTGGTCCACTGGCTCATTTTAAAAAACAACGTAAGTGTCATTAGTTTCCGTATGCAGATAAGTGCTTTTATGGATGAGCCAAAAAAAATCACTGCTCATTGAAAAAAAACGGGCCTATTGTTCTTTCCACTCAGAAATTCACTCGAATACTCATGTGTTCTTTCAGAACTACGCGGTTCAAATATCGTTAGAATTAGGAAATTCTTGGTATACGGAAAAAAAATAACCGGGCCTTTTTTGTTTCAGGTCTTCGCTGTCCTCGCCTGCTTGATCGCAGCCGCCGCCGCCGGCGCTCCCTACGCCTCCTACCTGGGCCCCTCCACCCTTGTCAGGGCACCCCAGTTCGACAGCGCCGTCGTGAGCCACGAGCGCCTGGGCGGAAACTTCGCCTACAAGAGCGTCGAGGCCCCCGCCTACGCCCAGGTCGCCCCCGTCATCACCAACGTCCCCACCCCCGTTGGAGTCAGCTACTCTGCCAAGCCCATCATCGCCCCAGTCACCTACACCTCCCCCGCTGAGGTCAAGGTCATCACCGCCCCAGTTGCCGTAGCCCATGCCCCAGCTCCAGTCGCCTACGCTGCCCCCGCCTACGCCGCCCCCGCCTACGCCGCCCCCGCCATCGCCGCCCCCGCAATCGCCGCCCCAGCACCCCTCGCCTACGCCGCCCGTGCTGCCATCCCCTACGCCGCCCCCTACCCCTACGCCAAGGCCTACTACCACTAGACCTTCTTCCAAGTTCCTGCCTCCAAGTATCTCATGTAAATAGTCGTTCGTTCCAGCCAGGCCTTCAGAGATTTGGATTTGTCAACCCTTTTAGATTTTTTCCACCTCTTTTAAATCAGTCCGTATGAACGCTCTCTGTGGTCTTGCCCCTCTAGACTGTTTCCTTTTAGTTTTTTTGAAAATTACTTTCGACCAGCCAGAGTCTGCCCAGTGTAATTTATTCCCTCCAAGTTTTAGTCCTCTGTGAACCTGTTTTGTTTCTGTGATAAAATATAGATTACACTACACTACAAATTTTTGCCAGTTTTCATTCCTACACCACAATATTTTGCATTTTTCTCATTCTTACAGTAGTTTTCATATTGATCACAAGAAAAAAATCATGGCCAAACAACGTTTAAGATCTTTTTGATTCTTTCAAATAATTTTAAGGTCAGCAATGTCTGACGTGAAAATATTATTTGTCACTCTAAGTTCAGAGCAAGATCGACCGCGGGTCAGAAAAAAGTTGCATGATCATATATTTTTCAACAAATCTTCTTAAATTTTGAGAAAGTCTCCTTCTTTAACAGTATTAACGTCCGCGATTAAAGGAAAACGTGAAATAAATTTGCATTCCCAGATTCAAATTTGCATCTGGGATACGCACAGGGATAAAAATAAATAATTGTGGGCACTAGCCTTTCTAGCGATATAGGCTACTCAGAAAATCTAATACTAGACACCTGTTTAACACCGTCAGATATCTTTTTTTAGCTTTCATAGATTTCCTGGGGATAAGTTTATTTTCACAGAAAAACATGCTCAACAAGTGAAGATAAAACGACAGAAGTTGTAGGTTGACAGAAGTTGGCATGTTATTTGATTCATCGTTGTGGTTTTTTTCAATCTCTTTAAGGAAAGTATTTTGAGTCATATTTTCTCTTCAGGATGAAAATTCCATTTTAGTATCATTTTATCGGGAATCACAGTTAACTTAGCAACTTGTGTTCGTAAATTTGTGTGAAAAAAATTCGTTTCGATGGAGATCCCAGTGTAACTTACTATCTGCGGGAAGACAGGTATTTCTGCATCCTGTTCAATTATTGCTGAATGGGTTGCAATCCAACAGCTAAAAATTGAAGAAAAGTAAAACTGATTTGGAACAAGGAAATATATTTAAAAGAAGGAGGGATTTGAAATAACAAGAAAAAAAATCAAGCCCTAACACCATTCATTATTACATACCTATAATTACAGAGCCAGCTTGGAAATATATATAGAATGGCTCACGATTAGGTAATAATTGTGATGTCTTAAGGAAAATCTCCCCATTTACCGCACTACGGGAGTTTGATCTGAGCAAACCTCCTCCTATTTCTAGGGTGTGTCCATTTTTTCATCATCTCTAGATTTCCGTTTCAATACCTATCGGTTTGTTAAATTGAACGCCTTTCTCAGGAAAAAATGTATTAATTGGACTTCTACAAAGTTACACGATCGTAACCACCGCCCTAGAAAATTCTCATTGGTTGCCAAATGAGCAATAATGTCATAGGAATAAATGTCCCTTCTGATAAATGTTTTTCTAAAAAAAAAAGGAATGCGTGGCACAATCAGCCATCTTGCTTTCCCCGTTCTGATTATCAAATTTGAAAAATGTATATCTCTATGATGACGTTTAAAAATATCCAATCATTTTTTTCTTTTTTTTGGAACTGGGTACTGTCAGAAGTATTATCCTGCAGTCCATTGAATAATTGAAGAATATTCTTCTTCTTCTTTTTCTTCTTCTTTTACACAATTGGAGATTTTTAAAGGTTAAAATAGAGCTTCACATTTTTCAAATTTGGCTGTTGGTATGGGACGAGTATATGTTTGATTATGCCATAAACCTCTAAGACTTTTTCGAAAAGCACTCAATGATTGGACTAAGTTAGTTAAGATGACGAGGGAATAGTTCCCGTACATTTTTGCTTCAAATATTCCCTTTCGTTTTATTCATTGAAAAAAGTAAATTCAGAGAAAATTTCAAGAGAAACTGTTGTGTAGAGTCGTTAACAAAGATGAAACATAAACGAAGACTTGCATTCGGACAATATCCTGCCATCGATACATTTCTTGTGTACAACTTGGGCGAAAAATAGGGCATTTTTCGCACAATCTGTGAACGGTGCAGCTGAACGGATGAAAAATTTCCTTGACCACGCCTAAGGGAGGGGTATAGCCCTACGCGCAAAACGCATAAAAAGTAACATTCCGATTCAATCAAGCGGTCAGAAGATTTTTCAACGAATGTGGTGGAAATTTAAGCTCCCACACTGCCGTGCTTAGGAAAAACGCCGTATGAGCCTTCAGATGTTGCCATATTTCCTTCAATATAAGTCAAATCTACCGGCAAAATTGTGAATGTATTTTTTCAATTTTTTTAGACAATTTCGTTCGCGATGTTATCTAAAATATCTGGAAATTTTGATGAAAACTATGAAAAACTTTCCTTAAAAATTCATGTTTTATTTGGGGAAATTTGGCAACTCCCGAATGTTCATACGGCGTTTTTCCTTAACATGGTAGCATATATGTTGGCACGAGAGTCGAGGAGAATATTTCGGGGGAACCGCCCATTCCTCTTCCGTTCTGAAGACAATTCATCGAGGCAATAATGTAGGAACAACCTCCGCTTAAAATTAACTTCACTATTATTAATTCTTCCTCGTTAGTCGTAACTTTAATTTTTTTAGCCTTACTCAATTTTTTCGTCTTCTATAATCAATCATTATGGTGCTTGTATTTCTTGAAAATTTCACGGTCTGTTAATTTATTAATGAAGTGTATGGATTGTGCCTGCTTTTCGAAATACATGAACTGCCAAAGTGGAAAAAAATTCAGTAAAGCAATTTTTGTTGAGTTGGCCGACTGATGGAGTTTTGATATCTCTACAAAAAACTTAGTATCTTTAGTATCAGAAACATTAGTATCATTAAGAATAAGTTGTGAGCGGTTTGGTGTGCATTTTTTTTTTTTTTTCTAGCAAATAGAGGGCGTGCGGTTGTGCAGCGATGCTTCAATTTTGTGTTCTGAACAGGTCTGAACATGGCAGTTTAAACTTTTATTAACTATACTTAATCAGCATTATGCAATAAAAATCGGAAATAAAGTTACAAATTATGAAAAAAAGGGTCATTTGTAGGTTTTTTTTACCATACAATATCAAAATTCTTACAACATTGGGTCATCAAATGCTGATTTTCAATGATCAGATGGGCAAGAGATAGATTGCAATCTCATTCCAGTAGCAATCCTAATCCAACATAGATGTCAGTACGAGGAGCGCCTTCAATTAGTGGGCAGGCAACATATACTACGTTCAATGCAGTGGCTATCTTTTTCCCATGTAAGGTAATCGCAACTATTGAAGCATGTGCTACTTAAGATCGGGTTTTTCTAAAAAGAAAAAAGAAGAAAAAGAAAAAAAAACACGTGTTTTGAGCTGTAAACTTAAAACCGTCATAACTGCGCTTTCAGTTGAAATTCCCTCTTGGCTTGGTTTACTTTCACTCCTACCCTCCGAGTCCGAACGTGACCGACAGAAATGAGATGGATGGCCACTACACAAAAAGTGATTTTACGGGGTAGTTGAAAATCATTAACACTTGAGTATCTCATCTCCCTTAGTTATATAACTGAACGGGAACATATTCCTCCTTCCCTTAGGCTTTGTTGTTACCACAACCATTCGACATCCGCGTGGGATTTTTCAAATTTTAAAATTTTACCCCTCCCCTTCCTATTATGAAATATTTTTTGTGAGAAAGGGTAACGATAAACAACCATTCGAATTGCTGAAGTAAACATTTTATTCACTTTATCAGTTTTTTATTTTCTATAATTTCACAATTTTATCTAATGAAATATTCACATATCAGTTTTGTAAGAAACTTAACATTATTGACAGCTTTTGAATCAATTAGAAAATATTTTAAGAAAAAATACGGTTTTCTCTAAATTTACAATTATCTTTTGCGTCATGGAATTTAGATTATGACCTAAAATATGACTTTGTCGAGAAGCTTTGGCTTTTAAATCACTTTACAAAATGTCAGAAAAAATTCAATTGATCCATGGATGGAAATTTTAATTGACTAACCTCAAAGTATCCAAAATGTTCAAAAATAAGTACCTACTGATTTGATTCCTCCTAAACTGTTGAATTATCTACATCTTTTATATGAATACAGTGACATTAACTAATTTACATAGTGATGCTGAGTTGCGAAGATTTTACAGATACGACGATGGAAATTACTTTATACTAGGACAACATTTAATCCGTAAGACGATGATACTAAAATTACAGTAATAAAATAATACAAAAAACCCCACTGTGATGAGTTGGAGAGGTTTAGAATATATACTATAACAAATATTGATGCAAGTAATTGAAACGAAGATGGAGGTACATTTAACAAAATATTATTTAAAAAAAAAAACATAAATAAGAATAAGAAAGGCTTTAAACAAATGCCGGAGTACCTATTCGAGCATCCATAGATAAATTGATTTTTAACAAATAGAGGGGGTTCTATGGATCAAATTGAAACAGGAAAACAAAATGAAAATTATATAACGTAAAAACATAACCAATTTGTATAAGTACCTAATAAATTCAACAAAGTAATCAAAATTATTTCTTCCCTCCGAGAAGTCAGAGAATAATTATCAGAGTCATCCTAAGCTCCATAGTAGTGTAATAGGTTGCTCTTGCCTCGACTAAAATTGATCTATATCCCACAACCAAAACATACCTGTAACTATACCATATATTAGGAGTTCATTTATATTTCTTACATTTAAAACTAATAAGAAAAGAATAGAAAATTCATCACAGTTGATAGCTTTAAATACAGTTGAGTTTTGCAACAGTGGATTCTTAATTTATACAGTTAATTACAATAGAAAACTTTTCAAGCATGAAAAAATTTAAGGTTTGTCTTTTTGGAAATTATTAATCACTAACTAATGATCACATTTATCTGAAAACATTTTTCCTTTAAATAATTAGGTCAATTTCACCGCACAAAATCTGTACAGTATGCGTACCAAATCTGTAGGAAAATTAGATCAAAATTCGATCCACGGCCTAATTTGGACTTTAATTTGATTATTAGATAATTATCCTTTCAAATTATTAGAAACTGAACAAACTTGACTAAAATCTGCGATGAATACATACTTCAAGTAAAAATATGGGAATATAATGGAATGGATAAATGGGTATATTGTAAATTATACAATGGAGACAAAAGTTAATGAGATCCCTGGGGATAGTACACCAATGGAGTGTGAGCAAACAATTTAGAGAGTGATGATGTACAAATAGATGAGAGGGCCCTTTGGAACTGATAGACCCACACAAAATTGGAACATTTTGATTGAGGACAAAAATTGATCGACAAAATTTCAACTCCTCTTTTACAGAAATTCATGAAGAAAGAATCCTTAAGACGCAGCTTATGTGTTCATATTGACATTTACCTGGGAAGAAGTTGCAACACAATAAATAATGGAAAGGAAATCGCAACATGTTGCAATAAGATGTCATTTTCTGTCAACAAATTGTCAATGTTTCTCCATTTCAAGTGACTTTATCACATACGCTGCTAACCCCATTAAATTGAGAGGCAGACAATACGTGATTAGCTAGCCTGCAATAGGTTGCAACTTACTTTGATTTCACTAAAACATGCTCATAATTGCAGTTTCCTCCGAAATGGATGAAATTTGCTTAACATTTCACAAGTTGCAACGATAGAACGATCGCAACAAACCCATGTTAGGTACTTAGGGTCAACCTTTCGCTTAAAATGTAACTATAATTCAACCATAATCAATTACGCGGCCAACACGATTCCGCAAAACATTTTTTTTTTTTTTTTTTTTGCACCATATCCAATCCCCCTCCCTTTTCTCAATACGTAAGAGGGGTACTGACTCGTTTATCGCCCAAACCTACGCAAGGAAGAGAGATATTCTTTTTATGATCAGCGGCACCTACCCAAGTGGCAAAATATAATTTTTTTCTAGAAAAAACATATTAAGAAAATTGCTAGAAAAAACAAAGAAAATGAGAGTTATTCAGCAAATAGACAGGAAAACCATTGCGAGTCAAAAGTCTGACCAAAGAAAATAGATCTATTTCATAGGTCTACTTTCTGTCAACTTCCTATTTGGAAAAAAAGATAGAAAATTTATTGAAAGTAGAGTTATTTTCTAGCCAATTTCTTAATATTTTCTTTTAAGAAAATGCAAGGAAAAAATGTACTTTCTTTCTATTTTCTGGTGTCTATTTTCTAGATCTACTTTATACCTATTTTCTTTCAAGAAAATTGTTCTATCTAGAAAGTAGACTTTTTCTTGATGAGCGCCACCTAGAAAGTAGCTGACAATGCTACTTGGGTACGACTATTTCATATTCCGCAAGGGAAATTAATGAGCAGTGTTCGACGAACATCATCCGTTGAAAAAACAACCCTGGAATGCCACGATCGATCAAGGCACCGTATCATCACTATTCTCCCCGACATCAATTTCCTTCTCATTATCGTCCGTCATCTCCTCCTTGATCCGAGGACTCGCGGCTTCGTTTTTGATGGAGGGAACATCGTCGCTCTTACTTGGCGATTGGCTTTCCCGGGAGTTGATGCTCAAGTCCTGGCATTTCTCTTCGGTTTCCTCCAGAGGGTCCTCCGAGATCTCTTCTTTGGCATCCTCTGTTGGGTTTATTCTCGCTCGGCATGTCTTCGAGTGCGCTTCCAGTGTGTCCTCTGTGTCGAACTCCTTCTGGCACTCTTGGCAAACGAAGCCTGATCGCTCGTTTGAGGGCTGTTTCCGGCAGTTCTTGTTCTGATCGAACTCGCTGAAACTGCTGTTCAGGGCCGCTTTGCTCGGGGTCTTTGGCGAGAAGCGGTTCTGATAGTGATAGGACAGATTCTGGAACAAAGGTGAAAAAATAATGAATCAGAAAGTTAAAAAAACTGAGTCTGTTGATGATAATACTTAGTATAACTGTGAAAATTTGGAAAATTCCGTATTTTATGACTTTCTATAGATGCTGAGATTTTCACTTAAGAGACTAGAGATTATTACGGATACCATTGTATGGTGCATATTTTTACAGTGAATTATTTCCAACATAAGTAAAGAATCATTCATTCTAAAATCAGTTAAAGGGCCTTTTCAATGCCTAATTTTACTATTTGCCTGCAACATATACGCGAAATAATGAGAGAGACGCCGAAGGTAGCGCCTGCAATGTTATCAAGTACCCTTCACTGAAAAAAAGGGATTTTAAAACTGCAAGAAGTATTTTTTCTAGAGATAAGAACTTTGCTACTCAAGATAAACTACTGTTTTGTTTAACCCCAGCATTGTTTTCTTGTATCAAAATAATTCTGCTTAAATCAAGATTAAAAAAATTCTTGGCAGCAAATTCAAAAATCATGATGCTGCCATGCACATTTTTTTTCAATGTTGCTCTCCGACTCTGCGGGTTGCACACGTCAGAAGAATGAAGGCGAACTGGTCAAAATGACTCACCTTCGTGAGGTCGGCCCCGATGGCGTCCTCCTCGAAGTGAATGAGGCTGTGGTTTTCTAGAAATTAAGATTATTTTACTACTCGCCAAGGCATTTGACAAAATGCCTGATTATACTATTTGCCTGAGACATATACGCAAAATAATGAAAGAATCGCCGAAGGCAGCGCCTGGAAATGCAATCAACTATCCTTGCTCTCCGACTCTCCGGGTTGCATACCCACGGGAAATGAAGGCGAACTAGTCATGATGACTCACCTTGGTGAGGTCGGCGCCGATGGCGTCCTCCTCGAGGTGGATGAAGCTGTGGTTGTCGAGCTCGGCGCGGAAGAAGAAGCGGGAGCTACAGCGGGGGCAGTCGTATGGGCGGGCGGCGAGGCCGTGCTCGAGGATGTGCGACTGGAGCCCGGCGGCCGCCGTGAAGACGGAGCTGCAGATGTAGCACGTGAACGCCGGGCAGCCGGCGAACGTGTGCTCGATCAGGTGCGTCTGGAGCTGCAGCGGCGAGCCGAGCACCCGCAGGCACAGCCGACACTCCAGACCGCTCAGCCCGTCCGACAGCATGTGCGAGGCCACGTGCAGTTGCATCTCTTGCTCCGTCTCTAGGCTTATCTGGAAATCGAGGGAAACACATGAGGGTTAAATTTTGGCCGATAATGGACAAGGTAAAAAATAACCACCGAAAAAGACAATTGACGGGCTTGAAAGACATAGGTACACTGGAAAAAACACATTGGATCTAGAGTACAGACTCTTGAAAACATTGACAAGAAAAAGGACTCTTGATTCGATCAGATTTTAGCTTAAATCAAAACGAAATCCGCTTAAATTAAGAGGCTGGTTCTTAATTTAAGCTATAGATTCTGATTGAATCAAGAGTACTTTTTCTTATCGATGTTTTTAAGAGTCTGGACTCAAGATTTAATGTGTGTTTTTTTTTTCCCAGTGTAAGGTCGAACCCAAAGTGCAGAATATTTCTATATTAAAAAAAAATTAACGTCGATTTTTTAACTTTCTTTGCCATCTGCATTCTAATCAGTCGATGAATAAATCATTTAGGAAACACTACTGGAAAAGCCAGGATGACGTCATAAAAAATGAAATTGATGCATGATATTGAAAAAAAAAATATATGTATTTACAAATTTGACACCAAAAATGACAAATGTTGCAGTAACGATCCAGTGTAGATAGTGATAATCGTTAAAGGTTGGCAACAATTTCCCTCAGCCAAGTCACCGACTTTTCTTACGTAAAAGCCTCCAGTAGGAGCCTGTGTTTCACTCTCTCTGTGAGGGTCCTCCATGGTAGATGTGTCTCGAGAGGAAGCTCCTGGAAATCCCCGGCTGAAATATTTTTTCCTAGGAGACATTGACACAGCTTCCAAAGGATTTCTACCATGACAGCTTCCTGCGGCGGTTAGGCATCGCAGAGCGCCCTAGCGCGCCGTAAAAGCGACTTATACATGCATACTTTGACACAGAGGCACACCTCATGCACCTATTGGCGGTAATCATTCACACTTTGAAGAGTCATCGGGAACTTTTACGGAATTCCCGTCCTCATTACCGGCATTTGACTTTCGCGGAAACTTTGTTTCCTGGTGCGTCTCCCTCGTTTAACTATAGCCCCACATCCTATTTCATACCCAGTGGCCTGGTTACACGATCAAATTCCCGTCAAATTCCAATCAAATGGTGACTGGTGAGCACCATCTACCATCAAATTTCTGCGGCCTGCAAAAATTTGCTGGTAGATGATGGAGCTGTGGGGCTCATCCATCCTTCATCTGATTTCCACACGACCGTGTTTATTTCATGCTTATTTCAATCAACACGCTGTTTTAATTAATTTTACTCATCAATCTACATAACAATCGACCGCCATCTTGGTTATCATTTTGATCGGAATTTAACGGGAATTTGATCGCGTAACCAGGCCATGCGACAATACGCAACAAAAAGACACTCACTTGGCATTTGATGCACTGATAATTCTTCCTATGCGCGGACGCGAGATGCGCCTCCAGCGCGAGAGGCCCATCGAAGGTGATCTGACACTCGGGGCAGCGGACGATGGAGGCCTTGGAGGACTGCTTGCGGAGACAATCGCTGCATATGCCGACGTTGAGGTCCCTCCGGTCGCAGGGCTGGAGGCAGACGCAGCACGTCGACGTGGAGGCCTCGCTCTGCCGCTGGTGGAGGTGGAACCTCGCGTGGATCCGGGCCTCCATCTCGGAGACGAGCGTCTGCCGGCAGATGACGCAGGCGGTCGGGAGCACCAGTTGCTGCTGCTGCTGCAGGCCCGGGTTCGTCGAGCTGTGCTGCTGCAGGTGCTGCATGAACTCCTCCTCGTCGCCCAGGCTCGTCTTGCAGTGGGTGCACGCCGAGCCCGATATCACCTGGAAACGTAGGAGAAAAGGATGTCAGTCATTGTTGATGACAATTGATATGAATGCCAACACGACGAACCAGAGAGCTCTCAAAACGGCCTTGATAAAGGCTTGGTAAAGAAGGAGGAGAAGAAGGAGAAGGAGAGGGAGAAGGAGAGGAAAGAAAAGGAGAAGGAGAAGGTGAGGGGGGAGGCGGAGAAGGAGAAAGAGAAGAAGAAGGAGAGAAAGGAAGAAAAGAAGAAAAAGTAGAAGAAGAGAAAGAGGAGGAGGAAGGAGATGGAGAAAGAGAAGAAAGAAAAGAAGAAGGAGAAGGAGAGGGAGAAGGAGAGGGAGAAGGAGAGGGAGAATGAGAGGGAGAAGGAGAAGGAGAAGGAGAGGGAGGAGACGGAGAAGGAGAATGAGAAGGAGGGGAAGAAAAAGGAGGAAAAGAAGAAGAAGAAGAAGAAGAGGAAGAAGAAGAAGAAGAAGAAGAAAAAGAAGAATTGGAGATACCCATGAAGCTGGCTACCACGTTGCTCCTCCGACAAAAGGGCGAATCTTAATTCCACGTGAGCCTTGTTTCGTATATTAATCTATGCTTTCGAAAGCTATAACGGGAATCGAGTTACGCGCTTACGCCGAAGGAGTGACGATAAATGATCTCAAGCATTTGAGGGTGAGGGGGTCAGGGATCACCTGATAAACCACTTTTAATGAGAGTGGGAGAGAGGGAAGGGACTGGGCATAGGGAGAGGCAAGAGTCGAAAAATTTGGAAAAGAACTTGACGTGATTATGTCATGGACGGGCTGCTTAGGGAGGTGTCTGCAGAAAACCCAACTCCCAGAAAATTGTCAACTTCAAGAAATTAAGAGTACTACTTTGACCAACTTATGCTTCAACCAAGATTGTGGGTGTAGATTATTTTCTTAAAAGCCAGCTTCTGATATCAGAGGCTCTGCAACAGGTTGTTTTTGTGGCCCTCTCTTCTGGGTGTCCTTAATGCTGCACCTACTGGCACCAGTGACAACGCCTTCATTTCAACGGCTATACTTCACGGCAAACGAGAAATTCAAATCGTTATAGCGTGACTTTCGCGCACATAGAACTTCTCCGAATTTGCAAACGTCTTAAAACTTCCGAGCAAGCCTAAGTCTTTTTTTTTTTTTTTTTTTAAAATAATATAGATCAAAGTTCAGAAGAAAAGTAGATGAATATCAGGAAAAAGTAAACATGTGGGACAAACCTTGCAATGGGTTAGTTTATGTTCCGCTAGAACTGCTGCAGACGGACAGATTTCATCACAGATATTGCACTTATGTTTTCCTGATCCTCCACTGCTCTGAGAGTGGCTCTTCATGTGGTTCTCTAGTTCAGTTCTTGTTTTGAAGTTTTCATTACAGTATGCGCAATGCAAGCTCACCTGAAAGGAGAAATACCAACGTGAATTGAAGCTGCAACTTCGACGGATAATAAATTACGAGTACATAGAAAATTATGAAAAATAGTTTAGAACGCTGAGGTTTTATACGAAACGTATCTTTTTGAACAAAACTGGAGGGTTTACGCTTGTCGGACTCGACAAACGAGCTCGAAAAACTTATGGGCTAAAAAATGTTTTATTCAGATTGTGTAAATTTTCAATCATAAAAATGCAATAGTGTATTTCCCTCGGAAAATACCTACACTAAAAAATCAATTAAAAAATGAAAATAAATTAAATAATGAAACAATATCAATACGGCCGCGAAACGACGCGAAAATTTACAAGACTGATTTCATTCCTGACATAAGCATGAGGGAGAACGCAAATATTGTTCTCCATTGTTTTTAAGTGCACTGGAAAAAAAAAACACTTTGGATCTAGAGTCCAGACTCTTGAAAACATTGACAAGAAAAAATAATCTTGATTCAATCGGATTTTTACTTGAATCAAAACAAAATCCGCTCAAATTAAGAGGCTTGGTTCTTGATTTAAGTTAGATTCTGATTGAATTAAGTGCTCTTGATTCAATCAAGTTTTTTAAGAGTATGGACTCTAGACCTACAGTGTTTTTTTTCCAGTGTGCCGTTAAATCGGTTGATGATTTGAAGAAATCGACGAGTTTGTCCCACTACAGAATATTCCAAAACAGCCTAATTTTCAGTTTCCAGCCTGGGTAGAAAGTAACATGTTGAAGTTTAAAACTGAATTTCTTACCTTTCCTGAATTCGCTGATTTGACATTATGAACTAGCTTCCGATGAGCAGTCAGTTCCGCCTCTGAGGTGAAATTCGCACATTCGCAGATATCACAGGAGTTTGATGGAATGTTGTGATTAGATTCAGACTTTTTCGAGGGATGACTTGGATATCCGTTCGGAGTACGACTAGTGGGAAGATTATTTGGCTGTGGAGTTGAGGAGTTTCGACTCGTCGGGGTTGAGGCGGTTGGAGTTTTGGAGGATTTCGGCGTTGAGCACTGTCGCTGATCTCCTCCATTTACAACCTGAAAATTTTCAAAAATTGCATATTTGAGGCCTTATATGTAACAATGGCGGATGTGAAAAATTACCTTTTAGAAACACGCTTAAAAACTGTTTTGTTCACACAAAAATTTAATATGTTTGGCTCTGGCATAATGTACGGATCTCAAGGATCACATCTCAAGTATTTTCTCAAAATTTTCTCGATGCCAAAACAATTTTTTGAATGTGTTTCAAAAAGGTAATTTTTCACATCCGCTATTGTTACAGATAAGTCCTCATTTATTTCTCTGATAAGCGAAAAAATGAAAGGAACAAAATATAAGTTATTTGTGAAAAAATGTGACAAACTACAAGAAAAGGAAGAAAAACCAAAAAAATGGGTAGACAAAAACTGGAAAAAAAAAACACATTGGATCTAGAGTCCAGACTCTTGAAAACATTGACAAGAAAAAATACTCTTGATTCAACCAGATTTTTGCTTAAATCAAAAGGAAATCCGCTCAAAATTAAGAGGCTCGGTTCTTCATTTAAGCAAAAATCCGATTGAATCGTATTTTTTCTTGTCGATGTTTTTAAGGGATCCAATGTGTTTTTTTTTTTTTCCCAGTGAAGCGAAAAATTTAATATAACGTTTCCATTTCTTATATGTTCATTATCAGCAAAAGAAAAATAAATTGAGTGGTACCCAGACTCAAGTTGTTTTCACGAAGCCACCCTCCACAATCTACAACGTATGTTTCACCTAAGTCACAGTTTGTCACAAACAATAAGTCAAATCAAGCATTTTTTCCAGTTCATGACAGAAAACTGATTAGTAAAACCCCATTGTGCTTACTAATGAGTTTTTTATTTCAAAAATTTAAAAAAAAAAAATTAATTTAAATCCAAAACAAAATTAATCAAAGCAAGAGATTATATTTTCAAAGATGAGTTAAGACATTCGATAATAATTAAAAATGGCTCTATGCGAATATTTCAGAGGTAGTTCATATACCTGAGAGGAATGATGGACGGTTTCCATGTGCTTGTCCAGCAAGAATTCGACGTGGAACGCTTCCGGACACACGGGGCATTGGAACTGTTTTGTATGGACAGCCAGATGGAACTGGAGTTCGATCTCGGATGCAAAGCTCAGTCGACAGAAGAAGCATTGCAGTAATTGAGGAGACTGAAAATTTTAAAAGGTTCATTAATAACTTGAAAGACGAATGTACCTACTTACTCCTGCCTATTAAAGTATGATTTTACCTGGAGCTAATCAACTGTGAGAAGTTCAATAATCAAAGACAAAGGTCGAAGGGTGATAAATACAGGCATAATAAAGGCATAAGGATATCTACTTATGCATTTTATGACGTTCACGGGGAACATACCCTACCTCTCCCTCCTCCAATAATTATAAGTTCTTCACGAAATGTCCAAACACTTTTTTCTCCTAAACGTTTCCGTCGGCGTAGCCGCAGAACTTAAGAGGCTTAGGTGAACTTGCCCTAATTAAGAACAGTGTCATCTGCTTCTTCCCTTTAAAAAAATCTGCATCATAGAAAAAAAGACCCTTAAAATCAGAGCGTTTCCTTGTTTATTGCGTAAGGTGATGGGGAAAAGGAAGTAAAAGTTTAAGATTTTTTTCGAAGAATATACATATTCGTAAATATGAACCTTAAGTTTGCATACGGTTAAATTTTGGTTGAAAATCGCCTCAAAATGCATCCGAATGAGGTCAGTATTCCAAAATTTGCAATATTTCCCGTTCTCCGTAAGTTCTCAACACTTGGATACTGGGGAAGGGTCTTAATAATTTATCTCTGATTCGACCCCTAGTAATGAAAACAGCTTAATCGGCCCGTAAAGATAATACAAAATAATAACTTAAAATGAGACAAAGGCCGCAAAAATTAATAAAACATAAAGAACCGAGTCGTTTTGCAGCTATTACTATTACGAGTGCATTTCATCCGAAAAATAAATATAAAAACATTAAACATAAACCCAAAATTACTGCGCCTTACCGCTGCAGTTGTAAGACGCATGACCCGGTTTTTTATGTTGTATTAATTTTTGCGGCCTTAGTCCCATTTTAACTCCTATTTTAGCTGAAGACTTACCTGGATAATAGGTTTGGGCGACGACAGGAGGTTCATAGAATGAGGCGTATGGACGGTCCGGACATGCGAATTGAAATCCATCTCCGAGCGATACGTGGCCACAGACGACGGACACCCGGTACATCGAAACAGCTTGCATTCCTTACTATGATTAACAGCGAAATGAACCTGGATAGTGACCTTGGAGTCGAAGATCTCCTTGCAAAGGGCGCAACGGTAGAGGTGGTGCGTGTGAGCATCAAGGAGATGCCGCTGGAGTTCGTCAGGTTTCCCGAAGGCCTTGCCGCAGGACTGGCAGCCGTACTCGGTCGTCGTCGAGAGGAAGTGGGTGAGGAGGTGCTGGGCCTGGTTCTCGGGGGATGAGAACGTGGCGCCGCAGTGGGGGCACGGATGCTCGGGGGGCAGGCTCTTAAGTTTGCGTTCGAGGTTCGTGGCGCCCCCCAGGAGACCCCGGAGGCCTCCCGCCTCCTCGATGTGCGCCTTCACGTGGGAGCGGAAGGACTCGAAGTTCGGAAGTGCGGCGTTGCATTGGTTGCACATTAGGGTCCCTGGCTCGTCGTAGTGGTTCTGGAACAGAGAGTGGGTAGAAATGTCAACCAAAGTCTAATATACGTGGGTCTTGCAGAGTTTTGAAAAATAATAAACATGAGCTGTAACTTAGGGCATTTACCATTTATAAGTGGAAATTACAGGACAAGGTAGAAGAAAACAAGAAAATGAAGAAGAAGAAGAAGAAGAAGAAGAAGAAGAAGAAGAAAGGAAGAAGAGGAAGAAGAAAAAGAAGAAAAAGAATAAGAAAAGAAATAGAAGAAGAAGAAAAAGAAGAAGAAAAAGAAGACGAAAAAGAAAAAGAAGAAGAAGAATGAGAAAAAGGAAAAGAAGAAAAAAGGAAAAGAAAATAAGAGGAGGAAAAGATGAAGAAAAAAAGGAGGGAAGAAAAAAAGGAGACAGATTAAGAAGCGGAAGAAGATGAAGAAGAAGAAGAAAAGAGAGAAAAAAGAAGGAGACGAAGAAGAGGAAGAAGAAGAAGGGAAAGAATAATAGGAATAGGTTAGAACTTTTAAGCTAGAATTTCTAACTTAGAGGAGAAGAAAAGTAAATAAATAGAAGGCAAAAAGAGAGAGTGTGAAAGAGAAGCAAATAAATATAAAGAAAAAGAGGAAGAAGTAATATTGTTAGAGGAAGGAAAAAGGAAAGGAAAATGAAGGAGAAAAGAAGCGGAGGGAAACAAGAAGTAGAAGTTCTTCAAGTGCACTTTCTCGATGTTCGGACGGCAACATAAATCGCCTTCAAAATACGAGGCTGCAACTTTGACTACCTCTGTTAATGTGACTGGAGCCTGTATACCTGGTCAGGCGATTTTTACTGTATTCCACCCATGATGTTTGATTTCAATCCGGCTTTGATGGCACAGTATGTGCCTCAGTGATTCGTAAAACACTTTATTGTAATTGCAATGTTGTAAATTTGACCTTTTTATATTAATAAAATGTAAAGGTGAAATATTAGCAATAATAGTGTCGGTTTTCCTTCAATATGAGGAAATTATGTAACTTACACACATTTATCATCAGTGTTCTTTACCAATACATTATTTTTTGAGTATGCTAGATTTCCTCATTTATAGTTTAAACGTATCGGATGCCGGATTATGAAAGAAATTTTTGCGAAAGCGAGCGTTAGTTAATTACACGTGTTAAGTGACGAGAGTTACTCTTAAGTTTTCATACGTGTCAGATAGTATCAATCTCTTTTCAATGACCGTGTAAACCATGCTGAGCCGAAACATTTGTAATTTTTTGGAGCCGCGGAAAATTTGAAGTATAACTGACTTCAATATTAGGGTAGCACTTGTCAGTTGATTTTTTACGTGTCCTTTTAAGATTTGAATAGGAAACAAAGTCGCTGTGTTATAATTCTCACTCTATATAATGGTCTATTATATTACTTGGAGACACCCTAATTAGTCTTTGCTTTTACGCATACTGCCGTGCTAAGGAAGAACCCCGTATAAACCTTCAGGCGCTGCCAAACTTAATTTGCTAAAACACGATTTTCCTGGCAAACTTATTTTTTTTTTCAAATTTTCTGAGAATTTTGCATGTATTTTGTTCTCGAATTCCTGAAAATTTCAAAAAAAAAAAAACATACATAACTTTCCTCAAAAATAAACATTTTTGTGAAGGAAATTTGGCAACTCTCGAATGTTCATACGGCGTTCTTCCTTAGCACGGCAGCATACTATAAGTGTTAAGGTCGTTTAGGAGAAAAAGAAAAGAAAAGAAACTTACAGTAGGTGTCCTGGACAAAGACCTCGGCAACGGTCCATTGGGCGATACACCATTCTCCTGACCGACTTTGGCCTTCTTGCCAGAGGGTGGGCGATCGTCCTCTCCCGGACTCGAACTCGCATGTTTACCAGACTTCTTAGTAACACTCAAATCCGTGGGCTTGAGCTGGACGGGCGACGGGATGCCTAAAAGGTTGGCAGCGCTGGATCCGTGCACCAAGACAAAATGCTCGGCGAAAGATGCTGGGGATGGAAACGGGAGGGCGCAGCGGACGCAGAAAAGGGGCTCCGGGGCCGGGCCCTGGTCTTTGCCGTTGAGGGCGCCCCGGTAGCCGTGGACGAAGACGGCGTGCTTGTGCAGCGCCTGCACGGAGCCGAAACGCATCGTGCACAGCTCACAGGTCAGTGGGAGGAGTGCTGAGTTGCGGGTTGCAGAGCCGGGGGAGCCGAGGCTGAGAGAGGACATGAAGTGCTGGCCTGGGCTCGGGAGGGATAGTTGCTGTTGGGATAGCTCGCGGTGCAGATCGCCGTTTAGGATTGAGCCTGAAATCATACATTTTGAAATTTAGTTTCCTGTTTGTTCATTTGGCGTTATAGTAGGGTTCACTGGGGGGAAAAAAAACCATTAGATCTCGAGTCCAGCTTGAAAAAATTGACAAGAAAAAATACTCTTGATTCAATCGGATTTTTGCTTAAATCAAAAGGAAATCCGCTCAAATTAAGAGGCTTGGTTCTTGATGTAAGCTAAAATCCGATTGAATCGAGGGTATTTTTTCTTGTCGATGTTTTTAAGAGTCCGGACTCTAGATCCAATGTGGTTTTTTTCCCAGTGTTTGGAATTTTTTTTACATATTGATGGCTAGGGAACAATTCCCCTTATCTGCAAACTTCCGACAGGACGAAGAAAAAACGTCGCCACTTTTGTGATTTTGACGTTACGGAAATACATGTGTCAATTCTTTTCTGTTCAGAATTTTGATGAGTTTTGCACGTAATCAGGAAAAAAATCAGTAAAATTTTCAGGTGAGACAGATTGATTTTCTAGGAAAAATAAATTTTGGGAGTGGAAATTTAGCAGCGTTGAATTGCAGCTGAGTATAATAACGAAGTGTTTGTTAACCGGGATTGATCCTTAGGCATCGATTTATTTGGAGAGAGGCAGGCAAACTCGAGGCTGGCAAAAAAATGTCATTGTGCCTTCATTGCCTCAAGTATGCAATATGGACATCCTAGGAACACGAATAGTTGCATTCGACGCTGGAGTCTAAAATACGAGCAAATCCCTAATTTTTAAAAGACATTGTGCTAAGAATAATTTATGTAACTATCTGATGATCAGGGTTTACTACAGGTTACTTTAGGGCCGCTGAAGATATTTAAAAATCCCACCGTGCATAGCTTGAACGTGAAGTTGAAGGGCTTCCATGGTGGTGAAGTTGTCATTTGTGCAATATATGCAAGCGAGCCGTGGGCGGGAAGCTGACGTGTAGGGTGAGCCCCCGCGACTTCCAGATCTTGCTCCTGTTGTTGGTGGCTCCATCTTGTGGGCAGTTGACATATGATTCTGAAAAGGATGCAAGCTTAAATCAGTTTTTTCAAAGGGTTATACACCCTGAGGTACAAAAATTAATGAAGAATACGCACGAGAAAATTGTCTCGCCTCCCATAAGAATATCGGCTACGTTCATCTCACAGTGTTTTCTGGAAAAATATATCGAAGAAGATTTAAAGTGGAACAATTTTCCCGCTCTATGGCGCCATAAAACGGTATATTTTGTTTAAACACTGGAAAAAGAACACATTGGATCAGAGTCCAGACTCTTAAAAACATCGACAAGAAAAAATACTCTTGATTCAATCAGATTTAAGCTTAAATCAAGAGCCAAGCATCCTAATTTGAGCGGATTTCCTTTTGATTTAAGCTTACATCTGATTGAATTAAGAGTATTTTTTCTTGTCAATGTTGTCAAAAGTCTGGACTCTGGATCCAATGTGTTTTTTTTCCAGTGAATAGCGTGTATTTTAGTAGATCGGATCATTCTGCAATCATTTTTCTGATAATAATTAAATTCAGAAATGATATTTTTGGACCTAGCTCAGTCAGAAGAGTTTTCATTGGTGAATAAAATTCGTCAAACTTTAATCACTCACAAATCCTCCATTGGACAAATCAATGAAAGAGGAGTGTGCGTACTGCGGATTTTCTAAGTACGAGTAGATGTATAAATATGACAGTGCATAAATTGATTCAAATATCTCTAAATTTTCGTTCACAGTGTCACGAGAGACCAACTTGATATCCTGAAAGATCATTTGAAAAATTGACTCGAGTATCTTGATATTTTTTAGTTCGCAGTATTGTATGCAAGTCAAGAAAAAAAAAAAAAAAAGAGGAGTCAAAAGAACAGTTTCGTTACCATTGGTTTCGAAAATTTTGAATCATTCGGTAACAATTAAAACCGAAATTGAACGACTTACATTATGGTCATCCTCATCAAATTGCAATTACACAGCAGAAAAATCACCTGCTTCTTTCACAGAATCTTTTTTACTTCTTGCAACGTATTTAGACATTTTTTTGGAGGCTTAGACATTTTTCAACCTGTGTACATATACCGGCATTTTTTTATTGATTACCTGTAATTGCTCAGGTTTCCGGAAGAGTTCGGAGCATTGAAGGCAGCGATAGGAGCTGCCGGGCGCAGCATTGTTGTTGTTGGGGGTGGGGGAGCGTTTGTGGTTCTGCATGTGCGAGGTAAGAGCGGCGGCTGTGTTGTAGCCCCGGTTGCAGACCGTGCACTGGAACGGCTTCTGATTGTCGTGGGTCTTCATGTGGATCTTCAGGTGATCGCTGCATCAATCAAAAAATCAAAATACATACCAGATGAGAATTTGGAACAACACATTTTCAACATAATCATCGTGATTTACGAGAAATTTTGACGGAGAAACAAGTATTTTGTTAGAGCAAACAAAAATGTGGATTGATTCACGACGCACACTGGATCGAGTGAATAGGCGAGGTCGGACAAAATTTGGAAACTTTAAACGCTTCTAACTTCGTCTGTACAAAACTTTAAGGTTCTGGAAGTGGTGTCATTGGTTTCTTCGTGAAATTTTCTTCAAGAACCACCCCTTAAAATTGAAAATGTGACGAAATAAACATCAGAATTTGCAGGATTGGTCAAACAATTCATGTCCAACTTCCCGGATTAATTCGATCCACTGTGCGAGGCACCAGTCGTTTAGACAGTTGGTGAATTTGCCCACGTGCGCTCAAAATTTAGTCGAAAACTGAAGTCTCATTATACGTCGTTTTTCAGACTAGGAAACGTAACTCCATTTTAAGGTTGCAAAATTCACTCAAACAATTCGATTTGCATGAAATCTGATGTATATAATCAGTGAAATTTTCAGTTAGAAATTTCCAAGGTTCAACAGTTAAAAGTGCAGTTTGCGAGGAGAAATTTGGCAACATTGAAATGCAGTTAAGTTATTTCGTGTGGACAATAACGTCTACAGAGAAAAAATCCATCCGGGCACAAATTTTCTCTTGAGAGAGCTATGCTGTTTGGTGCAACACTTGTTACGACTCGAGACGCGTATACGCTGTTTCTCTCTTTTAATAAGACTTTAGTTTTAGACCGAATTTTGAGCGCACGCCGGCAACATCACCAACCTTTTCGAAGTATTTTGTTGCTTACATTCAGATCATGAGCGGAAGTCCGCACATATTCATATTGATGATACGTTGACATCCCGCAAAAAGTTGACCGTTGAATTTTGACTTTTGATATAAAAAAAGACTTTCATTCTAATGCAAAACAATCTGAAAACATGATGGCGATCATTTGAATAAGTGCACGGGGTTGTCAAACCAGATAACTAGGGTGACTCATTCAAACGAAATGACGTGATTGATGAATTTTTACTTTAGTTGTAAAAAAGAACTTTAACTCCAATGCAAAACTATGATCTTCGGTAAACATTGATGGCGATCAATTTGGATTTTTACGGGGGTTGTCAAATTAGACAACTAGGGTGACTCATCTGAATCAAATGACACCATTACAGCTGTATAATTTCAGAGGCGGGAAGCTCGGCATCGCGCAAAACTTCTGCGCAAATCGTGACGCAAGTTGCGATTTTTAGACATTACCTATGCTCTCATTCTGATTTTGAACGGTTTCTCATACAGACAACATGACCTTTCAACTCAGGATAGATTCGTTTCAACCACCTATTGACCTTTCCACGCATTCAAGAACACGTATTAAAATGAGAAATTTTGATGAAAGCTTGTGATATAATGTACCCAAGATATGAATATCGAGGCAAAAAAAGACCTCCGGCATTGGCGGATCCAGCAAATTGGCAACACGTTGCTTTTCTCCATTCAAACCTATGGAAATATATCGATTCTTAGAGGGGGCAAAAGTTCCGACAAGAATCGATTATTTAACATAGCTTTAAATGGAGAAAATCCGGTGTTGCCAAATTGCTGGATCCGCCTCTGACCTCCGGTATTCAAAATTTTTATGAAAAAGGTTTCTCCGGGTAATGATTCTAAACCTTTTATCTAAAAAAAAAAAAAAAAAAAAAAAAAAAAAAAAAAAAAAAAAAAAACCCGTTATACCTTTCTGCTGCTTGATTTTGGAAACAAAGGTTGGCGCACAGGTTATCGAAAATCGATATATTACGTGGTGTAAATATAGGGCTTCGTGTTCTTTTATCTCGCCGACATGGCGAGAAATAGTCCCAACAATCAGGCTGAAGTTATGATTATGAACGCGACCAATAACCGTTTAGCAGGCGCCACATGCATGGGTGCCAACCTAATAACACCTGCATCGCTGCATAAAAGAAATGCAACATCATTCGCCGTGTATGCAGTGGAAAAGTAACGCGAGTTTTCCGCCATGAATATTGGGTCAGTATAATAGAGCCATCAGAAGTCGATCAGTAAGACGTCTTGACCGCGCCGCGCCGGTGAGTTAATCGCAAATTACGGTAGGTGCGTACGGCGAGAACAAATATAGTATTTTGACTACGGACACGGTTCACTGTTGAGCGCTTGTTACGAGTTCAATGCATTTAACTTTCCATCCACGTTTTTTCAGTGCTGCCAAATGCCATAATGAGAGCGAAGGCATTTACTACGCTAAGAAAAAATGCCGTTTGGGCATACGATTAAAAGTTCTGCTGATACGAGTCGAATTTTTTGGACAATTTACATTTATTATTCGTTTAATTGTTTTAAGGAGTTAAATCAACAATTTTAATCTAGTATCAGACTGATCATGGACAGAAAGAGCCTCAGTCTTCAAAGGTTAATTTTCTGTAGAGGAACTTTAATCAATAAAATTTTAAACTCACTTGCACATAAAAATTTTAATATTTTTACGTGTGAGTTAAAAAAAAAAAAAAAAAAAAAATTGATCATTTATCTTGAGCGGGTCTACAAACGAATCTTATAACTTCAGTCTAGTAGAGTCGTAAAATCAGATTTTGAGATTTTGATACAAAACTCTTTGTGGTGTCCCAAAGAATAAGTTAAAGCGGTTTAGCCATTCTCGTGTCATTCAGAAGTGTAATGTCGGATTGTAAGTGCGGCAATTTTGTGCTCTAAAAACGGCAGATTACAAATTTTGAATAGATTTCTCTTAATTTTACATTTGGATGATATACTCTTCAGACCGGCATAACTTCGATTGTTCATTGATCTATGCTTTAGTATCAATATCTAGGTTTTTAGGGCCCTTTTTCTTCTCGTAGACGAATGGGAAATTTCAAAGGAGAATATCAATGACTTCTCCTTAGAAATAGACATTTTGTTTCTGGAGATTTGGCAATCTTCGTAAGCTTGCACTGCGTATTTCCTTAACGTAGCAGAATAATTACCGATTTCTCATCGATGATGTCCCAGGTTAGTTATACGGTCGATTTGTCGGTTGAATTCACAACTGCAGCGACTCACGTACACAATGCACCGTTCATCGATCAAATTGGCTCATCGATGCACCTTTGATCAACAATCAACGCTGCTGATTTTCGATGCCGAAATAATTCGTCTAGATCCACTTTCTGCCGTGTGATTTCCATCCTGTTCGGAACTGATTGGTCCGTGGATGGATGATTAATTTTAAACGCCAAACATTGATTCGTCCATAATTGATTCTAGTTTTACGCTGAGCTATTCAGCAAATTAATTCATTACTTCTTCAATTGGCCCAATTTAGTCGTCATGCGTAGGGAAGCATTCGCTGGGAACTAAATCGTGGATTAGCTGTTCTCAATACCATAATATTATTGATGGCACGAAAACCTCTTTAAGAAGCAGATTGATTTATGATTAATTTTAAATCCTAAATAATGCTGAGGTTTCCAGCGTAGTAATTCAATACTTCTCCGATTGGCCTAGTCTACCAGTTGTGAAGAATATAATCTGAAGATATATCATCAAGAATATCAATATAAAACGACATTGTGAAGTAGCTATTCTCAACATTCAAACAATTTTGATGACATGAGAAGTTATTAAAAAAGCTAATTATTAATTTATTTTAATGTCATACAGCCTCTAGCTTATTTGAGGAGCGAATTAATTCATTGATTTTTCAACTGACCCAATTTATTCGTCATGCGCAAGGAAACCCAATTTAGAGTTAAATTGTTGATCAGCAGGTCTAAACAACAGAAGATTTCTGATGGCATGGAAAGCTCTTTAAAACGGGGAATGATTACTAAATATTCAATCCAAATTTTTTCTGCTGAAGTGAATGCTTAATTCTTTCTTCTCTCGGCGAAGATATTGACTGCACGATTCATAGCGTAAACTTACACCAAATAGAAAATGTCTTAAATCTCACATCTGTAGCCATTAGATTAATGGCAGTTTATGACGTATTAGAAAGATGATCAAGCAGGACAGGACGAACAATCAAACGACTTTTGCTCTGCAATAAAACTTTCTTTTCCATTCAGCTACGTGAAGGTATTAGTATCCGTCATTGTGTTATCTTTATGTAACAAAGACGTGAGTAAAACCTACACACATACGATTAAAAATACTCGAGAAATATTGCTTGTATCCGCTCATTAAAAGTTAAATATGTGATGTTTTGCCCACTCGACGAAAAAGCCCATTGATAACATTAAAGCTTGAGGATTGAGAACATTAAATTTTATAAAGAAAAGATTGAAATTTTGAGTTTACCTTCTGGAAAAAGCGGCTTCACACTGCGTACACCTATATTTTTTGTCACCCGTGTGGAGTTTGATGTGACGATCCCGGCTTCTCTTGTGCTTGAAAAGTCGGCTACAAAACTCACACCGGAACGGCATGTGCTCACTATGCGTCTGCAACAAATAAAAAAGAGGAATGATGAAAAATAATACAAAGCTAGGTTGAGCACTGCATCGAAAAATCGATACAATTAACCGGTATTTTGGATGTCAAAATTGTATCAAGAAACCAGGAAGACGTAAATGTTTATCTACAGTTGATAGTGTGCACCCAGCATTATTCAAAAATCATGTTGCTTCAGCTAACCTTCGCAAGGAAGTAAACATTTCAAGGATATAAACTAAGAGCAGGCTAAATCAGCATTTAAGTCTCACCAGTCACAATTTGGACATTCTAAATTCCCTCCAAGTCGCCTTCAATTTAAAAGATAGGCAAAAAAGGTGCCTTCCTTCATGACAGAAAAGTTATATTTGTAAGACCACCACAAAAGACCTATGCATTAACCTATGTATCTAGTAATAAACTCGAATACATTTGAGCGTGCTGTTCCACATTACCAGGAGTACTTTTGCACTAAAATATTTAAATAAAGAAAACACCGAAAAAAAGAGAAGTTGGTTTAACATTCTGGATGTAAAAAAAAATGTGCGAGAACTTATAAAATGCTGAATTAACAGCCACAGCAGTTAGTTTTACATATTAGCATTGCTAAAACAACTGCTGTAGAGGGTAATTAAGCATTTTATAAGTTCTCCCACTTCTTTTTTTACATCCAGAATGTTAAATCAACTTCACTTTTTCGGTGAAGAGAAAAAAGTTCACTTGAGTGAACTCTACACCAAACCTTAAATATTGCGAAACGTACATTGAGGATCCTAGCAACAGCACACATTTTGGACCGATCGTAAGATAAAATCATCCACGAAGTGTTGAGAACGGAGAGGTTTCCAAAAAAGCATCGGAGAAAACACGTTCCTTGATTTGATCTTTTCTCCCGATGCTGCGCCGTCTTCACCCAAGTCTTTCGGTCATTCATCACACGCGCGCAGACGCGCATCTCTTGGGTGGAATTTGAGTTAGGACATGTTTGAGCGTGAAATATTTCCAACCGTTTGACAAAACCAGTGGCGCCGCGCATAGTAGACAACTTGACGGCGTCGAAGAATGTTGCCACGATATTTTTGGACAAAGATGTCACTGTTTTAGGCACCGAACGCATTATCATTTGCTTCGCCCGTTTTTGTTGCATTGATCGATAATTAAATTAAATTTAATAACCTATTTTAATTGTATATTTTATGCAGATTCCTCTTTTCCCCGATGTGATGAGTGAACGACTAGATGGTACGGAAGAATGTTGCCAGGATAATAGCAAGCCATACTGTGAGGCTGTGACTATTTATGAAAATAATCACATCATTTAATTCATTGCCATTATTCATCCATGGGAAAAGGGACGAAGATTCCGAATCAAATTACACACACCAGAACACTGTTGAGTATTCGAGAAAAAGAATAGATTCCTCTCCGTAAAACGAGTAGATTACGCTCCGTAGAAGTGCAGGTTACTCCGTTAAAAATTGGATTCGACTCCGGATTCATAAATTACTCGGGTACATAGACTTTCGAGTGAGATATAAACCGCATTCCAACTGAGGCTTTTGACAGCGTGGCTCCTTATCTTAAGGTGAAGCTTCAACTTTTGTGCACACCGAAAAAAATTGCTTGCTGATTAAACAATTCAATTGTTGAAAAAAGTGACTGCAATGTTTCAAATGTACATTCTACAATAATAGAAAGCTAATTTAACCACGGAGGTGCTTATATTGGCATTTTTTTATCGTAAAACCTACATCAAAACATCGCAGTCACTTTTTTTCGACTAAAAACATGTTAAATCAGCAATTTAATTTTTCCGCGTGCTAATAACTCTGCAAGCCACCTGAATTTTTCATCCTCTTTTTTCAATTTTATGGGGGAGGGGGACAAAGATTACACAAAAACAACAGCTTGTTGACCGCGGGGGAGGGGGGGGTGACGGATCCGCGCACGGCGGCAATGCGGAGGCGCGGATGATGATGCGGGTCGAACGAAACGAAGAAGCGTCGAAAAGGGGGCGGGGGCGGGCGTACCCACTCCAGGGCCCGGGGAGGGGGAGGGGGGCCGGGGGCACTTGATTCAATTACCGTTGCACGTCTCATCCTCGCTCTCGTCCAGCATCCAGCCGAACACGTGTTGAATAGGTTATCGCGCCCGCGCATCGCACCGCATCACCCCGCCACGCACAGTGGAACGCACTAATCGAAGAGGTCGCGCATGAAATTTTCGGCTAAAATTTCAGATTTTGATATTTATTTTGTTATATTTTAAATTTCATGGGGTGCCTCGTGAAGAAAATTCCACGAGGTAACCAATGGAACCACTTTTAGGGCCTTAAATTTTTCAAATTTAATTTCTTGCTACACATTAGCCATGGTAAGTGAGGCTAGGTACAGGTCATAATAGGTACAATAAAGATTAACAGATCAGTTTGTTAACAGACTAGTTAGGTTATCACAAATTTCTTTAAATTTTCTCCAATTATTTTAGGTATTAACAATTATCTCAGGTTTGAACAAATTATTCAGGTTTTGACAAATTAACAAAATATCTTCATCTATAAGATTAAATGTGTGGAGTGATGGGATTGACGATAAATTCCTTCGAAGAATATCGGGGACAATCCATAAGAGCCTTTTTCAGCTTGTATAAAAGGAGGTTCAAGCCTTTAAAGTTTCCAAATTTTGTCCAGACTCTCGTATTTACTTGATCCACTGTGCGGCGCGACGTCTAAATACCTCTTTTCGTCGTCGCGGAGTCACCAACTCTTCACTCTTTCCGTCGCCCTCTGATGTAAGGGCGTATCTCTATTTCCACATGAGCCGTGGAAAGTATGGAGTTATATGGAGAACATAGCTCACGTGAAAATCGAGGTTCGCGGTTATGTTGCAGGAGTGACGGCTTTTCTCTCAGTTTCATAATTCGGATGATTAATAGGGATTTGAAGACGCCAGATTAGAGCCCGTGATCTATCGCTCGGCCGCGTTGTCAACGCGGTGGGAAAAACGAACGGGTCCTTTTTTTCCGGGATTCGTCGCTTTATCAGGTACTAAGGTGGCTTGATGCATCGCACACGGACGAAGAAGCCGCTTGTGCAATCTTAATTTAACTTTTTTAGGGGTAGTTTTTGTCCATGAAGATCAGTTCTTGAGCATGCTTCAAGATACTTCAGAAATTGCCTCCCCTCTCCACCCCCCGAAAGAAGCATTAAGTCAGACCCACAGAGGAAATGGTAAACTGCCGAGAAAGAAGATTCACTTTTGAAAGAACATGCTTATTTTTCGATTTGAAATAAGTCAATATTTCCTTTTTTGTTAGAAAAAAGGTTCTAAAATGATGAACAAAAAATAATGGTAACAGTGTCATTTGCACCACTAAGCGTGCAAACACTCATTTTGAGAAATGTCGACTTTTTCCCTCCAATTTACTTCAGCTACCTTAAAAAACAACAACGATAAAAACACATATCTTGGGAATACTTAAAGTGATTTTTACTCGTTTTATATTTGATTAGGCTTATTCAAATTTTTCTTCTTTTTTTTAGAAAATGAGAACCACAAAATGTATCATTTGTGGCCTTGTTTCATTTATTTTTACTCTTTGAAATGTTTTCATTCTCTCGGCTCATTTCTTGTGAGTTCTGCAAACAAATCAGTCTTAGAAATTTGTCGATTGACTAGATGGCTTTATAATAAAAAAAAATGAGGAGGGAAATTCTCCTCACTTGAGGGAAGTTTGCACATAACATCTTATAACTTAGATTAAACTGCGTATCTTGAAGCCACCGTTTAATATTTTAACAGTTTGACAACGCTGACTCGATATGGCCCGTTCACACATTCTCTGGTGAGTTTCCCAGCTTTTATCATCTTTTAATGTTTACTGCATAAATTACGCGTGTTTTATGGCTTTATGTAAATGCGAGCTTCTCTGTCATTCGGGTGTTATGTCACTTCAGGAGGCGGCCAGCGGTCAGCTTTGAGAGTCCTTCTCGAGTTGAGTTAATTTGGCGTGATGCGAACAATTGACAGAGGGAGATGGTCCGATAAAATCTGTCTTTCATAAACAGATGTTGCGGAAAAAGGTGATGAACTTCATTCAATTAGATATCATTTTTAAATTGCGAATAAGTTGATTGAGGAATTAACTTAAGTATACGGGAATACGTTGTTTTCTGTTCCAAAATATGTAGGTGAAGTGCGAAAGCAAGTGGAGCTCAATGCACGATTCTTTTTGCATTTGCTTTTCAGAAAAGGGTGATTAAGAAATGTAGATACTGAAAACATCTGAAAAACCATCATCGATGTTTTTGATCTTGCTTTTAATTTTGTTCTTGAGAGTAGATGCGGAAAAGAAGGCGGAGACTCAAACGAAGGGGAAAGAATGTTGACGAAGAAATATTCATAATTTGTATCGTATAGGTAAACAATAAAAATCAAGAATATTTTTTCGTCAACTTTCTTTCCCCTTCGTTAAAGTCTCCACTCACTTCTCCGCATTTAATATCTGCATAAAAAATCACCGAACCCAAAGACGCGACGCGGCAGTAAGGCCAGTATAGAACTTGTGGACACTTACCAGACCTTGTTTAAACTTAGTTTATCAGGTTGTTATTTTTTCATTAGTCTCATTGAACCTAAAACCTCTTTTAGACCGTTTAGAAAATTGATTTCAACCTGTATCTCATTGGCAAGGCAGATGGCGGTATTGAAATAGTTGAATAACTTATATTTTAGTCTTTTTCTAACGCAGTCTTAAAATCATGCTTTTGGGAGCAAAAGTAGAAAAGAAGAAGAAGAGGAAGCAGAAGAAGCAGGAGACGAAGAAGAAGACGCAGCAGAAATGCAGATCATACGCCCGTCTAAAAGGAGCCGATTCAATTCCATTCACCCCTGCTCGAGACCCTTTTAGGAGTTTTTCCCTTCACTGAAGAAAAAGTTACGGCCTATACAGACATACCGTCTGTTCCGGGCTCAGAGGCCGAAAGTTCCGGGTGCTGGATCCCTAGCTTCAA